ATATATATATATATATTTAAATAGTTAACATCTAATAGTTAATCAAATTCGTATCAATCCAAATTACTAAAAGCATATGAAATGTTGAAAATTGAGAAATTTCTAATTCAATGATCAAGAACTGCATATAAAAAAAAAAAAATTATAAATAGAGAGGAGAATCAGTGTATTCCTGTTATATGAATTTATGAAAAAAATTGCATAAACCATTTATTGTTCGACAAGTTCATGTAGATGAAGTTTTACTGTACCTGTATGTCGATCCTCAATCATATGTAGTAATACGATTAATTCGGATCATTGACTACGAATTCTACGAAAATGTTCACGTCCATGTTTACGTTCACGTTCATGCTCGTGATAAAGGATCGTTCAGACGACCAGTATATAAGGACAGAAGGCCTTTCTTTCACTCAGTTATACCATCCACACACTGTATATTTACATAAACATTTATTCTTATTTTAGTGTGCTGAATCAACCCGTGCTGTACTTCCCACATATTTTGAATCACCTTGTACATTGATCGCCTGAACGCTTCATAAGAACCAGATTTCCATAGACGTTGCCATTGCATGCAGTTCGTATTGTATTATTAACGCTAGTCTTACGTCTACCCAGTCATCGTGCTTATCGTATTACGCATCCAACTTGAAGGTATATCAATGTATTTTATTTTCAATTTATCAATTGAAATTGGTTATGAGTGACTACGTATGTTACTGACAACATCTATCGGTAGATTGCGGATTTTCATAAAAATTTATATATATATATATATATATATATTTTTAGTATAATTAAACAAATAGAAGCTAATTAGAAATTTGTTTCATTTACTAAATATGTATATAACAGGTTGTTTCAAAAGTTGCGGTAATTATTACAGAAAGAGAAGAACTATCTTTGATTTCAATGACATTGAAATATATTATAATATATTATAATGATCGTTGTTCTAAATGACTTTTTCGTATACATAATAATAGGCGATTTCTGAAATATTTTATAACATCTGATTTTGAAGGTTTTTAAATATATTGTCATAGGCATCACCCTAAATAATCGCTATTTGTTAAAACAGCATTTTCCTTTTATTTATTATACAAAATATTTATGTTAACTAACTAATAGCTAAGCACATTCTATTAAAGGCAAATTCTTTTTTTATATAGTTTTTTGTACTAACTTTATGTGATTTTTTTAACGATATATTTCAAATCATTCATTTGAAGATCATTGAAATCGAAGGTGGCTCTCTTTTTCTTGTTCAATTAAAAAAAAAAGTTTCCCTCGTGATGCAGAATTTGATTAGAATCCTCCATTTTTTTCGGATATTCATTAAAAAGTTGTCTTTCTTGATAAAAAAAAAAGAGCCACATTATGATTGCTAAGCCGAAAAAAAAATAAAAATAGTAGAAAAAGGAATATCGATACTTGTGTCACGTACTTTTAATCGAGTTAATTTTATCGTGCAGATTGAAAATTCTTGTAAACAGAAAAAGATTTAAACAGTGATACGAGGGATAAATCGTGACTCGCGAAAATTTTAAAGCGGATCATAATGAAAATGGGAGAAAATTTTCGGGAATTTTTCAGAAACCTAATATCATAATAATTACTTTACTTTGGATTGCTTTGTATATTTTTGCATGCTGTGTGCATTACGTGTGTACTTTTACACATCAGAATTCCCTCTAAATGCATAGAAATCCGCAGTCTAGCTTTCGGTGAAGTTTCACGACATCACGAGTTCCACGAAGATATGTATTATCGAATTCGGCATTACACGATGAGTTAAAGACGATCGTTCGTGCGTGGCATCATAACGGGTCACGTATGGTCACTTACACGATGTTACAAACGGTGTACGCACGAAGCAGATTCAAACGCGTCATTTTCGTACGTATCCTACGCGTAAGTGTGTATTATGTTACGTTTGACGAATTGTACCTGACGGTCACACGTTTTGTTGAGTTTATCAATAAATTATTGCATTATCGGTTACCATGTGTCTTTGTGTTACAAGCGTCGATCGTCCATTTCATGGAATTTCAGTTGGTCCTTTGTCGCTCGTCAACGCGAGTTTTGCAAAATTCCCACAGGATGATTCCTAATCCTTTGTTTGTCCCTAAATCGAACATTAATGAGTAAAAATTCTACACAATTATAAATGAAATAATTATAAATTAACATACACTTATGTTATACAATTTATGTTACAATTATGATTACAATATTCATACAAATTACATAATTATAATAACTA